TTTCGGACCAACCTTTTCACTCGCATCAACCATAAACAATAGAATCAAAGAATAAATCAAAAACAAACAACTTAAAGACGGACTCGAGTACGAGCGGAGATGGCCTTGGTCAGTGACAAGGTGGGCGCGCTTGTCACTCGCGCGGTCCCGGCGGTTCGTATCCCAGGTACGCACACCCGCCCAGGCCAGATCCGTCTGGGAGGATAAGAACACTGACTTGTACATCGGCTGGCCCCGCAAGTCATTGTATAGGCCACATCGCATTCAATAAGCCACTACGATTCTGAATGGAAGTAGAATGCGTGCCGCATCCCACAAAGGGATTGATTAACGGCGAAGACTTTATCCTTTTTTTATATCAGCCAAAAGCTCCGTTACTGCAATAAGACGAATTATTAAACGCATCATATGGGATAATTGGCGGGAATCTCATGCACAGTGGGTCGTACTTGGTTGCTAGGAGGTCGTCGTATCGACCGCCAGTTCATCCATTCCAATGCCAAGCCATGTTTACATGTAGGTATTTTGCTTCTGCGTCTTGATAGCATGGTGCTGGTCGCGATAACTTCTGGTAGGAGTGGTGTTGAGAATTTTAGGGAGTCATTTCACCGAGCTGAAGTGACTAAGGAGGCTCCTTTCTCCTGTGGGACTGGATGAATAGCAAGATACCGTGGTAGCATTTTCGGAAAGGTGCATAATCGAACAGCTAAGGTCATCTACTATGTTATTTCTTACATTAGTAAGATAATGTTGAACCAAAAGTCCTGTTACACATTGAACAAAACTTGAGGTTGTATATTTTTGATTAATCTTTTTAATAGGGTCTCATCACTTCTAGAACACGTGCCCGTCTGTTGGCCATTCTGCTCTGCCAGAATTCTGGCGACTGCGGTGCAGATGCAAGCGTTTCGCTTCGCCTTTAAAGGCAGTTGGCACGATAAATCGCTATACAGATGTAGGATTTATACTGGCTTAACAGAATTCCGTGACCTCGGACAGGCGCTCCGTGGCGCCTTTTCCAAGGAGGGTACCCCTATAACGCCCTATCGAGCAACAACATTCCGTCCCAAACGCCTTCCTCGCCCGCCCGCCCACAAACGGACGACCGTTTCTGACGCTCGTATTCATTCATTTGCTGAGCAAATTATGAAGCAAAGGGATTGGTATGAAGCGGCCGTGATGCTGCATGCATATATGGGTACACATATGCAGCCGTATCTTCGGTAGCGGTGATTGGCAAGATGCCTACGGGAAACTCGTCCGAAATCGATTTTCAAGTCACTGAGAACGGAGGCTTTTTCTTCGCCGGATTTTGACCGTTTCACTCCGTTCTTTCGCCATTTCCCCACTATATAGCGCCCTACTAGCATTTTAGGCTAAGTAGGAAACCATCGTGCCAACTGCCTTCAAGGCGTTAAGTGGACTTCCAAACCACTCCTTTCGATAAATGGCCAAGACGAATAATATTATCGAGACACTATGGAATGGTGACTTATTCGATAACAGCGCAGGTGTTGGCTCCAGCTGTTTGAGCAGACAGGGATTTGCAATATGGAGTAGAAGGAGGGTTTCATTCTCAGAGAACTGACCCCCTACACGTCCACGAAATCCTTGTGCAAGGTGGCTGAAACGTATGAGACCCACAGGAATGCTCTTCCTTCAGAAATACTCTTCTTACACAAGATACGCCTCGTCGGTATCGTCTTATGGGCAGAAGTCACACCGTGTTTGGAAAAACATCTGGTGGTCGTTCTCTTCCCAGTTGCCCACAACCTCCTTTACAGCCTCTGACAAGCTCGTTAACAGTTTTTAACTATTCATCACCAGATACAAGGCGTCCTTATTGCAGCGGATTTTCCATTCTGAACTTCAAGACTTGCCAGGAGGGGGGAAGGTTTCAGCTCCGTGGCGAATTTCTCCTATCTGGAATATTCTTCCGATTCGAGCCCTCAAATGACCATCATCAGCTATTGTGCATAAGTTTAATCGTGAAAATTTGTAACTCGGACCACAACATTGCTGCACGCAGCTACCGTCGTCAGTCCAGTGCATCTCCATCTTTCTTACATAACCCCCCTGTCAAGATATAGCCTCTGCAAGTTCGGTAACCACAAACTCTGAGCACCCTTTCACTGCTTTCAGTGTTTTTTAGGCACCCGCTAGCGATTATCAGACTTTTCTATCGACCTTAAGACGGCGCCTTTTTTTCTAGCGATTCCATCTTTGTTGGGTGACCGGAGCTTCCTTGACTGATCGTAGTTGACGACGTTGCTCATTCATAATGACATTGCTTTCTGTTTTTCCACGGTGTTGTGGTTAAAGAAGAGTGAAGTATTTAGTTGACGAGCAGTGGTGAACTCTGATTCTCAAATTAAAGGCAAAGCCCGCGATTATTCGCCTATCACAGATGGTGGATTAGGGGCTTGCATATGGACCACAGGGTGCTGAGTAGCTCGATCGTGACGAAAAAAGCCGAAAACTACATACCAGTTTTCTAGATAGAACCCCATTTCAATCCAGTTTGAGCGTGCCCAATTAACTCCAACTCCCAGAACTGAACGCCCCATGCGCAAAGCTGGTTCCACTAACAAGAACTCTACGACGCGTGCAAGTAACCAGTTTCCATGCATTCTCGTCCTGCAGCTCCGTTTTCCCTGAAAGAAGGGCTTCGAGGGCGGAGTCTGGAGGCGGAGTCACTGGAAGAGAAGGAGGCGTCACTGAACCTATATTGCGCTATAGCGCCCCTCCCTTACAATTCTTCGCCACAAAACCGGTACAGGTTATTCGTCGCGGACCGTACTACCCTCCCGATGCCATATTTTCAACTTCTCTACCTGAACGCGGACTGTGCCTTTAAGTAAGGTGTTACAGTCGTTCACAATGGAGAAACAGTCGCATAATAGCTATTAGTCGACTGCGCGACATTCGCTTGTAAAGTGTACAAAAAACAGCAAACCTGTAAATGAGGTTTGATGCAGGGGGCAGTGCGAGGGAAAACGCGCTCGTTCTATCTGCCATTCTGTGTAACTGCCCGCTAAACCCTTCACGAAAATTTCCCAACATTCGAAAAAAAATTCCTTCAAACAGACCAGATCCCATCCATTCCTAGAACAGTTCGTTCAAAGCGCTGCAGAACTTATTATCTAACCTATTGAACTTTGCTAAAGTGCTCATGGAATACAACCGGAAGCCATTTTTTCTCATGCTGGTCGACAATTTTGCCAGTGTGGGGAAGTCTAGACCAAAAAGATATAGGAAAATAAGTATTCATTTGATCAGACGCAAAGCATTCAATGTGCACGGAAACGAGGCTCCACCCTTTTGCATGATTCTGCCACTACCCAGACTATTAAAGCAATAAGCAATAATAGTCGGTTTGTCTGTGTGCGTGTGACAATGACAACACAGTGCGTTTTCGGAGCATGTGGCTGTGTGTTGAGGTGCGGAATCTTGGCGATCTTTCGAATGCCCGTTGCTTGGATTGTGCTGTTAGTCGGCATGAAAAGAAGAAACCTGTGAACTTATACGGGTGTCACGGCGCTGGCGGCAACCAGGTAGGCTGTCATGCTGCATTTACACTATCCACTGGGGTTTTCAGCTACGAAATCAAGGTGCACCATATTGTGTGGATGCTGCGACCGGCGAGGACAGCGAAGGAAAGCCGGTCACGCCGTATCCATGTCATGATCAGGGTGGAAATCAGGTTTGCAGAATAGATTACACAAACGGCCATGTATACGGAAAAACTGGTAAAGAAATGGGTGAATTTCTAAGCAGCCAAATCGCTGCAGTTGTCTCAAAGTGATGCATGGGTTTGTGTGGCATGTCGACTACTGTGTGGCTTGCCAATGCAGAATACAAAAAGAGCCAAAATATTCACCTGAAGTGCTTCAAGTCGGATATTTTGGAAATCTCACATGCACAGTGTGATGAGCTGTCATTTACTTGATTCCACCAGCAGTAGCTATGAACTTTTTTGAGACCACTTTCTCGGTGTGCCAATGACACCATTCCGAATTGGCGCCATCGAGACATTCTAGATACAGCTCAGGCTTTTCAACGATTTTACTATTTATAAACTGCAATTACTTCTACTCATTTTAGCT